TCGCAGTAGTTAGGGTTTAACCGGCTTAGCCTTAACACCTTTGCGATAAGGGAAGAGCTTTTAACAGTTGGATTGTGGGCTACGTGTTCAGGGGAGGTGCAGAATCAGTGAAGTTCTGCTTGACCGAGCACGGATAGCCTGCTGTTGTTCGGGGTGCCTCGCCTGGAGAACCTATCACCGTAGGATTCGTTTCACCGTTACTCCCCACCCTACCCTCCATCCCAGGTGAATGCCACTTCTGCCCACAAAACCTCTAGTGTGACGTTTCCAGCCCCCACTTTCAATTTATTCTGACGACGAACAAGTGATACTTGTTCGAAAATTCACGAGTAAAACTCGATTTTCCGAATATCTGCTTTCTTTCCTCATCTCACCTCGGAATGCAACTTACTTCACTTATCCAATATGCGACTTATTATTAGAAATGACCACTCTCAGATGTGATAGGTGCATTTCACACCGGTAGTCCTGGTGTTGATTAGAATGTCGCAACTTTCAAGGTAAGTATACTAGCCACTGGCGGTGAATAATATGAGACCAAGCGGACTGTAATGCAGGGTTTTACCTTCGCAATAGTATCCAGCTTGCTTTACGAAGGCCTATTCACAATTTCTTTCAATCAAAAAATTATAATTTGCAAACGCAACTTATTTACCGTCTTTGGTTGATCAGAGCACAAGCAATGTTTAGGAAACATTTTACCCCATTAACACTTTGTTTTCGCCTACGCAGTTTTCTGCCAGAATTCTCCTACCTGCAGCTCGCCTCATTTTTATTCAGAAACGGCCTGGCGCATTCGGGCACGCACAAAAATGGAACGAAAAGCATACGAAGGAACACAACAACGACCCTGACACCAGCTTGCCTTCAGTAACTGACAGAGTCGTTTTCCTGCCGTTTTCACTCTGACTATCCTGACACATTAATTGTTAATGTCAAACAACAGCAGCAGCATCCGGTAGAGGCCAGTCCGCCTCGATCTATAGCTAAAGAATGTATGGCAGAGTAGCACAACACCTACATAGAATTACATTAGATCGTCTTACTCATGAGACAAGAAAATTAAATTTTGAGAGGCAGTTAGATACAAAGTTGAGGTTATTATTTTTGTGTGACTCGAGCCAACAGCAGCCGCATACAAAAATAGTTAAGTTCATCTCAGTGCATTGAAGTAAAAATGAGCATATTTTGGCCAAATCCGATTTTTTTATATCGGAAAAAAACCTCATTAATGCGCATTTTAGTATAATATAGATAATAGGAATAAAAGCCAGCAAAGTATAGGCTTTAACCTTTTAAAGAACGGAACGTTTTCCTGTAAACTCATGAAAACCAGATAAATCCGAATTAAGAAATGACATTGTTTTAGGGACAGGAAGGGTGGAATTAGTTTAACCTATACTGCGCTTGTGCCTTAAAATTAATTTTAAAAAATTGTTCTAATACAATTTTGTTAGCCACGAGAATAATTGAGACCGTAAAATAAGCATAAATATAGGTTTTTGGTGGAATAATTTCCTTTGGAAACGGCAAAAAACTGTAGTGTCAAATTTGGATAATGGCTGATCAGGGCTTCGCCGGACAAATTTGAGTTGTACTTAACAGTATTTATATATATAAACACCCACAAAGTGCCATCAGTTTTTTTCATCAGGTCATATACGAAAGATATCCAAGCAAGTTCTGTTTACAATTGGCTATGGATGCATGCGTTAGCTTGTAATGGAACAGCAAAAGATTATTGAATACCTTAAATTTGTGGTATATATTCTACCATAGTCGTGTCTATTTGCGATTTTAGAACGAATGTTAAATGCATAAAGGTTTACTTAATAAGCTTACGTATACACCGAAAAGAGAACTTGATTTATATTGTAAACATTCGCATTCTAATTCTGGCTTAACCTTTGAAATAAGGTAGATAACCGATTTACTTGGCATGGACTTGTTTAATTTATGCGAATTTCAAAGTGTTATCATGTTATATAAAGTTTATTATAAAAATCCTTTTTGCTTTAGACGTTCGTTTTTCTTGGCAGTTGTATGTTTGTGACTAAATACATGACTCAAACGGCCAGCTGCATGATAGATTGCGTCCAAAAGCTAACTATTTTGATGAACTCTTTTAAAAGATATCATAATCTGAAGATGTCATATCCAATGTTTCTTGATATCCAAGGAATTGTCTACGCTATTAATCGCTGCCGATGAAAACTTCTTGTTTATGCAAATTGCACTATAATATCCGATTCACATAAGCCAGCAGGTAAATGAAAATATGGGAAATGACATTGTTTTGGGACAGGAAGGGTGGAATCAGTTTAACATATTCTGCATTGCGTTTTTTGCCATAACATTAATTAAAAAATTTTTTGGCTGTACTTTTATGCACCACAACGATAATTTTGACCGTACACAAGCATGTATGTACACCCGCAAAATGGCGTCACTTTTTTGTCACGTCCTATAAAAAAGATGTCCAATCAATTTTCATCTCCAGATCAATACATCAGATGAATTCATCTACAGATGAATAAAGAAGCTTTAAATGAAATAATAGAAGATAAACAATTTCCGTAAAACTTGGTATAGATTCTACCTTCTGCTTTGTTTGCAATTTTAGGAAACATCCTAGGTATAAATCTATATGTCTATTACAAACAGATGTACACCTAAAAGTGAGATTTATTCATTTGCTGCGGAAGATTGTTGTTTCCTTTCAAGGAAATCGAACTAAAGCAAATTTCAAAGAATAAGCATGTTAAATAAAGTCAATTTAAAACGACAAATTATATGTCACAGATTAATTTGTGACTTTAATTGAATCCGTTTAATTTTCTATGCAGTGAATTTATATGCAAATATGGGGCTAAAATAATGACCGAACCCGCCAGCTGCATTGGACATTATGTCCGAAAACCCGTAGAACACGACCGAAGCACTGAAAAATCGTAATATGTACATAATTATTTTTAGAGTGATTTGAACTTCGTCGTAATCAAACTCCCTGAGCTGATTAAAAATAAATACGGTCAAAGGGATTTGGTCCTAATTTACATAAAATGGCACGTTTGCGACTGCTTGTGATAATTCTATTTAAATTTAATAATCACTGCCCGCCATGCTCACATGTGAGCTATAGAACATAACAACCGTTTGACCACTTAGTCGGCGTAGTCAAAGAAGCATCCGGTTATCTTTCACCAACGTAGCTCAAACAATGAATAAACGCAGGAAATAACTGGCAGTTCTCGTGACACCATGTTCGGATGCATACTTGAATTGTGGGCTGCTTGGTGACGGCCATACTTAACGTTATGCATTCAATGAAACAATTCATCTCCCAAAAAAGGCAAAAGAGGCAACTTTTAAGCGTAGTAATACTTGTGCTGTTTTAGTCATTCATTTTTTTGCATTTGCATGCTATGCCGATGTTTCACACACATCCAACAGTTTGGCTTTTTTCAAAAAAACTCTCGATACTTCAATTAAGTAATATTGATTAAAATAGCGCAATCTGCACCCTGTTCTTTGAAAGCGATCGATCCTATAGTGCTGTAAGATATTTTTGGTACGCAGCTTGGGCTGATTTTGAGCACCATTAAGAATGCAACATTCTGCGAGCAAAACCCAATGACAGTGATGACAGTGCTAGGCAGGAAGATGATAATGTTTTGCTATGGCTTTATGCCAAAGAGTTAAAAAATACTCAGACTGAAGAAAAGCGACTACTATTAGTTACGTGTAACGTTGACTTACAGACGCATACTGTGCTTTTAAGCCAACTTCAGCGGAAAAAACCTACACAGGAACGGATGCGCCTGAGGTGTGTACGTAAGTAAAGGAGAAGACTTTTCGAGCATGGGAACATTTTTTCATTATTCTCAGCCCTCACTATTATTTATAGAGTGATTTGAACCTCGGCGTTATCAAAAGCCCAAGCTGATTACAGATAAATATAGTCAAATGAATTTGGTTCTAATGTACAGAAAATGATTTCGTTTTCGATTGTATGTGACAATTCATTTTACTCTTATATTCGCTGACCACCATGTGCGCACATGAACTCTGCCATATGAAATGCAAGTAAACCATGTTGGAATACATACTCGAACTTTGGGCTGCTTGGTTACAGCCGTACGTAACTTGGCGCCTTGTATGGAATAATATATCTCCCAAAAAGGCAAAAAGGGCAACTTTTAAGCGTTGTAACACTTTTGCTGTTTTAATCATTCCATTCTTTGCATATGCATGCCTTTTGTGCATTTAAAAATTAGATTTACTTAGCTACACTGATATTTTACACTTACCCAACAGTTCCGCTTTTCTCAAACAAGCATTTGCTTCTTAAATTACGTTATATTAATTAAGATACCGCAATCCAAACCCTTTGCTTTGATAGCAATTGTTTATAGAGTGCTGTAAGAATTTTTGGTACGCAATTTGGGCCGTGTTTAAACAAAGTAAAAAACAACATTTTGCGAACAAAAACCAACAGTCGAGTCGAGTGATGACTGTAATAGGCATGAAGATAAGAATATTTTGCTATGGTTTTACGCCATTGATTTGCAAACCACTTAGGCTGCAGCAAAGCGACTTCTATTAATTGTCAGCAGAACAAACCACACAGGTTGTGCATGAATTGATGCGATTGAGGTGTTTGCATAAGCAAAGAAGAAAACTTTTCAAGCACTGGAACATTTTTCTTGGCTTTCGAGCATGTGCAGGAGTTCGTAGCAAGATCCGCAGCAGCAAACAGCCGAAAACAGCAAGGAGTGCAAACAAGTCAATTATCACTAACTACGGATGGGAAGTCAGTCCGCTTATGTAACGGTTTGATATCGGCTTACAGAGCCTTGCACAGACACTTCCAGACGGGCGTAACTGGTAATGTATGGGATTTCTTACCCACAATTCCTCACCTTTTTGTTGCTTCTACTGCTGCCGGTGCCGATGATAATGGTAATGAGAATGTCTCTGACAATGAACCCCCGCACGAAGTTGAGAGCTTAGAATAATAAATGAGCTCTTCAATCTGTTTTCGCATTCACTGAGATTATTTCTTGTTATCAGCTCGAAGTATGCGTATACGGAAGGATACAAAATATAAACAGGTCCCACTTGGAATGTGGGGTAATTAGCAACTATAGTCTCATTGCCGTTGTGGATTAACAATTCTCAGTTTAAAACATCAGCGAAAATTCATTTACGAACCAATGGTTTCGACCATTTTTTAATTAACCAACATGAGCTAATAAATGCACTGAACAAATCGAATATATCACACTACATGTCCGCATTGTATCTTATGAATACGAAAAAAAGGCATTTTGTTTTCAGCCAGTCGTTTTTATTGAACGTAAGTTGGTTTACTTGCGGTTAAAAACTATTGTACATAGTCTATGCAGATGGCACATAAGTAAGGCAGTTTCCCGTATTCACAGGGAACACCTCTTGGTGCACCTTCATGTAAGTACGAATAATTACAGTATGTTTTATTAATGGTTAATTCTTCTTGGTCAAGAGTATCGCTCTGACACTGATGCGCTCACATCTGCTGCAGCGATCGGCCTGCACGGTTCAACCACAAACATGGCTGTGGGTTACGACAACGGAAAAGGGAACCTTTTTCATAAGAAAAATACTCAATTACCAAAAAGCATCCTGAAACGTAATTCTAACATCAGCTCTAACCCTTACCTTTACCATGGCCTTAAATATGGCCTCGAGTTGATGCCTTACCTGGTTCTCGACCACAGCGCACTCTCAATAATTCTTTTCTTCATGGAATTTAGCACGAACTTCAGGTTTCTCGAAATTTCTGCATTCCGTATTCACCTTCATATAGTTAGTTATGCAAGATACTGATTGCAAACATTGAAAATCATTACAGCTACCTTGGTAAACAATGCGAAACCGTTCGAATTTGCAACAAACATAACGCATAGAAAAGTTTAAAAAGTGACATTGGAGTCTTTTCCGACAATTAAAACATTCAGGTATTGCTATGCTGTTTCTAAAATAAACCAGATGACCTTTTTTACTTGTACGTAAAAGTCACTTAAAATACACCTGTGTATGTCCGCTAGGTAATTCGCAACAAAAAGAGAATTTGCCGTGATACCTTAAAGGAGCAACTACAGGAGTTTTAGTTAGAGGCCAGCCGTCTGAAAAGTGACCGCAAATGACAAATTTTGTTATTAATTAAGTTTAAAATCTAAGGGCTTTCTGGCAATAAGCGTTTGCCTACATTTTCCAAAAACAATTGTGCCATGTTTTAATGTGTGTAAGGAATTAAAACTGAACAACATTCATGCGAGGAATACCGACTGAAATATGACACCGTATATTGCATAATCTTGGGTTTGTTCAAATTTTGAACTAATCTTTTAAATAAAAAATAGACCAAGTACTTTTCTTTAATTCAAACGCAAAGTCCGCGTAGCATAAAAATTCGCGCTTTTTGCTTCGAGTAATTCAGTGCACTCGTTGAGTTCTTATATGTTTACTTATTGATTATTTACTTAGCACGCTAGTTTTCTGAATGACTGACCCAGAAAATTTTTTCAATGGATATTCGGTGCTCAGCATTTGTGAGGTCGCTTTCGTCGTAAAAATTTGGAAAACTAACTTTTCCTGCCAAATAGCGGATACCTTAATTAAGGTCTCTCGCAGATAGCTGACCCCCGAAGAGAATGGTGCAACTTTGATTTCCAACGGTTCAGCTCACAGAAGGTAAACTTATGTTAATTCCCGAAATTCATCTGCAAAATTAAATTCATAAACTTTCTGATTGCCATCCTCGGCATATTTCATTGAAGATTCATTTAAAAATACGTGGGCCCGCGCACTTTACCTTCGTTTGTTGTGATAAAAACGACCGAGATGGGATAATATATATCGTTAATGACCTCGCCATTTCATGGGAGCAGAACAGATGGCTGTGTGTTATATTTCAATGTTTCGTTAAGGTTAGGATCACAGTTCATTTCACTTGTCTCAATTTGAAACACTCTGTGGCCTCAATGGGATTCAAACTACCGCCAGTAGGAAGGAGGCTTTACTACAGTCAACGCTATAACCCAGCTACGAATACTCTACCGAGATAGTTGACTTGACTCACCCTCGGGTCATGCTAGCCACACACCTATCTTGCTAAAACGTTTTCAATCCACCAATTATAAGATAATAAGATGACAGCCCAAGCAGTTTACCCCAACCAATTAATCGAGAACCCAGGTACACTTAAGTAGTATAAATTATGGAAAATCTCCCTTAGACATTTTATGCAGTTGATAAATTTGAGGGTCTGTAAGTTTTCCACAAATATATCATTCAGATATACCAAAACCCTCACTAGTTGACGTTAAATTTTGAGTTCATGTTGGGTTAAGGACCAGAGAACATCGACCAATGTAGCGCACGGTGGTCTAGTTTTGTTGTTAGGGGAGTTTTGGCGGATTTCTCTAATTTAGTTGAGCTAATTGTGAAAAAACTCGTGGCCTCGCCTAAACTCGAAACCGCACAGCGAGGAAGGCCTATACGCAGCCAACGTTCTACCGAGTTGAGCTACAACGCCACGCCTTGGGCCGTTAATTTAATCATACTTGGATCGATTATGCTCGACAAACTTACTTCTCGAATGAAAATCCACCATTAAGGAACAGCAAGCCGACTGCTCAAGCAGCTTAAATCGGTAGAGCATTGGCTCTGTATAAGCATTCCCTGCTGTATGGGTTCCAACGCCGCGAGTTTTTTCACAATTGGGTAAACTTTAGTTTATGTTTGTGTCCTGGTAGGTGTAGATTCCGAATGAACTGTCGATTTTGCATTCTGTTTGTTATAACTCTCCCCGGATGACCATCTGATAGTGGCCATTTTCGTTTGGGATAGTGACTTTTTACTCTTGTGTTACCCTATGGTACTTTGTTTGACCTGCATTTTAGATGCTAATTACTTTAATAGCACCGTTAAGGAGCCTGCGATTTTTGAACTTCTAAGATACAATAGAAGCCGATTTGAGGGCCGGTGTCGTCATAGACTCTTAAGCGAATTTTCCAATTAAATAAGAACAAAATAAGCGGAAGGAGACTCACTTTTTCACAATTTGGAGGAAATATTTTCGTCGGGGATACTCGCCGCATTTTATGCCTGAACGGGCTACTTGTGATCACCATTTTACATTGAGTATTAGCCCCTAGTTAGACTGCATCATTGTCTTGGCTCGAACGCTTCAAACACGTGAAAAGTAGCCACTGTTTATTGCATAATTCATTTTTGAAAAACAACGATGAAAACACTTAGTTATTTGAGCTGCATAGCGTAAACAGCAACACCTTCTAAAAACGACTCAATTTAGGTCAACGACTACTGGCTTGATTGTACTAGGCCAGACGACACTTTCCCTTCAATTATGTATGCGGTCCTGCTTGCCAGTTTATACGCGTGCTAGTAAACAAACGTTAACGCTCTATTTTGTCTATAGTCCTTAGCCTACAATTCCACATTTTAACTATTATATTAAAACTGCGTAATCTAATATTTAGATTTTCTGCTTATATTAAGGTCTGCGTAGTAAAAGGCAATACATACATCGAGCTTCATAGAATATTATAAAGGGGGGGTTTAGATGATATGAGCAATGCAACTGACACAATCGTGAAGCGTTGGGCGGGCTCGGTGGAATTAGAAACCACGTCAGTAGGGAAAGCTGTAGTATGGACAACGTTCTCTGCATTTAACCACATTTAGCACGAACAGTCTATACTACGAGGTGAAATCACACAAGATGTAAATTGGCTGTGGCTACTCTCGGAAAAAGAAATCGGTTTAGTACGAAATATTTTCTCGGAAATTTGCTGAAATTCATCGTACGTTATAATAATAAAAATTAAGCCACTGTAAAACACAATGCTCAGCACTTAGATGGATTTTTTTTGAAGAAACTTTTTCATGCACAAATGCTTACAGGGTTATGGAGGAATTTTGAGTGTCAGTTTATGTTGGGATGGATATAGTGTCCATCTACAGGCAAATACTAATTCAAGCCACCTGATTTCGCATTAAATAAGGTCATGCATTTGAGAATTAAAATATCATGCTAGGTGACTGAAATGTACCACGAGTCTGCCTCTATCGCGGAATAATTGCATTGTACTGTGTTACTCTACGACAAAGAAAATGTTTAAATTGGCATAGATTTCATGAATGATCGTAGTAGCAAATTATGCCAAGGCAAGACATACCTCTGTTATAGTCTCAGTTGGTGTATTGAACTCCGAGATTTGCATATCGTCGGCAAATGTCAGCGGCTTATCTTCATCCCACACGAACTTCAGTTGATCGATCGTGTAGCCATAACTCCCAATGTCCATGTCACAGTACTGGCGATCCATGGGAAAGTTGCGCAGGTACATCTGACAGGCCAAATTCATGGTGATCTTTTGACTGTAGATTACACGGCCACTGGGACTGACTCTAATCATATAGTTAGGCATCGTCATTCTATACATGAAACCCTCCTTGCCATTGCGGAAGAAGAGATCAGGAATCCAGAGTTCATCGTGCTTCGCCGTCAACAGCAAGTTATCCCTGAAGCCTCCGAACTCGACATTGTTCTCCCATCGCAGCCGAGGGTCTGTCCAGGTCTGCACTAGTATCATGTCCGCAGTATACTGCATATTTATCACGTCCACCGAAGTAATCGCCAGTATCTTGATGGCCACGTTAACAATGGTTGGTGTTTGAAGACCCTCCGTTGGCCGCTCATATCGACGATAGTTCTCCAGTAGACTCACCAGTAGTCGCTCCTTTATCGAGATCTCCGGCGGCTTCTCAGTCAGTCTCCGTAACTCGGACACCTGACTGGCCTGGTAGAGATTGGACATAGTGAAGGCGCGATTGAATGGGTACTGGGACCCGGTCAGAGCAGTTGAAGACGGTGGACCATGCTGCCGTTGAACTCGTCTCTGAACCAGCCGGGCCTTCTGAGATGTAAGTACGCGTGGAGTACTCAGA